AACAGAAGTGTGTTTTATTTTAGATTTGTCACTATTTCTTTTCCCATTAACAACCTTATGTTACATTGAATAATCAGTCAGTCTTACATAAACTTTCCAGGCCAAAATATATTTTCAAATATTCAGCTTCAGAATATGGTATTATAACACAATTTTGTGATGCATCACAAAATCAGGCAGATTGCTTTAAATCTACACTGATAACTCCTTACTGCAGCTGGTACATTCAAAATATCGTGTACCTAATCAATTTAGTCTTTCAGGGAGGGCTGACTAAACCTCAGTTACCAGTCTTTCTGTATCCAACATTATTATCTTAAATTTTGATAATTTGAAACAGAAGTCGTGGTAAACAATGTCAGGCAAAGAACATCCATCCAACAAAACTAATGTAATTCTATTACCAAAATACAGGTACATCCTCATGATAGATACTGTTCAAGTTGTTTGACTTTCTGAATCCTGACAGAAACAAGATTTTCATCAAATCAGAAAAGCTATTTTTTTTCCTGCTTATTTAAAAACATTTTCATGCAGACAGCTTCAGTAAGCTAGTTGGAGGGGAAAAAAAAATCATAATTGGCAGAATATACAAATTGATACTGACCCTAGAGTTCTTTGCTTAAGCTTCTGCATCAGTATTTTCCTTCCAGGTTTAATATTGAACCAACAAGGTAGTACTTGGAGATTTAGATGTAACTAACATTTGCTTTATGCTTACCCCAAGCCATATTGTTTGGTATTTAAAACAGGCTGACACTGAAAATTCATTTAAAGGTCCACTTCACTCATTACACATTTTCACAAATAACTCTCTGATTAAAATAATGGAAAATATTGGAAAAAAAAAAAATAAAAGAAACTTTAAACTTGCATGCCATCTGAACGAGACATACATGATGATATAATCCAATTTCGATTTCTAAATTTAAAGGTGTGAGCACACACACAAAATCAGAGACTTGAAATAATCATTTTTCAATCATCTCAGCTGCAGTAAAACTGCACTATTCATTCATGTCTTAGAAGAAACCATGAGAAAAATAGTTCTAAATAGCTTCAGTTTCTCAGCTATAACCAAAACATATCAATACAATTAATCTTAAAATATTTGGAACCAGGTAATTTAGTTAATAATACTGTCTTGCCTGTCTTTTACTGCTATTTAAACTAAATAGAAAAGCACAAAATGTTTTTATTTCTCCTTCAGTATTTTAAAGACGTAGCATGCCAAAATATTTACACACAACTTTATCAATATCTTGATTCTTAAATAAATCTTATCATTCGCATGTAAGTTCTTCCATGAATAAATGACAATGTACTTTTTCCTAGTATTTTGGAGTTGTTTTGTTGGTTTTTTTTGGAAGGGGAATATTCTTGCTTCCATGGTTTAATTTCCCAGGATTTCTAAGTTTCTACCCAAGGAATATTTCTTCTTTTTAAGCTCACAGCCTGAGATACCTAAGATACGCAGAAACTGTTCAATAATACAAAAATTCCAGTCAAAAAGATAATATTCCAGTTAAGATAAAAATCACTGTAGCACCAAAACAGTATTTTTAAAATTATTTCTAAAACTTTTGGTTGCTCCCCAATATTTAGCACTACTCTGTCCAAATACTGTATAAATAATTGAATATTTACATATATGATGCACCACTACAGAGGTAAAATTGATGTCTACTACAAAACTTGCTATCAAAAAATAATATACATCTTAGAAGACTTTAAGGAGACGCAAAATTTTGACTGCCATCCCAGTAAAAGGAGGGTATGAACAAACAGTGTGTATATTTAACCTCACTTGCTTTGTGCCGAGGATTTCCTCTCACTTCTGGCCTGCAGTTCCTATATTCTGCTTGGGGATAATCAGGGTACATGTTTAACAGGGATTTAGAAATAAGATTTCTGTTATTCTCATAGGAGTTGCATAACTAATTCCTAGTGCACGTGGTAGAAAGACAACCTGAGGGTCTGTTCTGTTTTTACCAGCACATTGATTTTATTTCAAAACCTAAATAAGACTCTTGAAAAATACTGAATTTAAAGCCTGCTTTGGGTCTGTTTTATTGGGATTGCCCTCTACTGCACTAGGACTATAATTCTCAGAAACAGGCAAATAAGTTAACTCCCTTGAGCTTTCCCTGTCTCTACTTAAGTTTTGGCACCAGGTACAGGGAAACACAAAAATAACTTTCATAATATTACTTTCTGCAACAAAATAAGCCACAAAGAAATAATATGGATGTAGTGAATCAATATTTTGTAATGATTTATCACATATTTCTATGGCAAAATAAGAGACTGCTCCACAAAAAGCTCATCACTGTTTTTCAAAACAAAACAAAATCACTATATGAATAGGAAGCCAAAGAATATTATTTTATAGCACATACTAGTTTGTAAGGTTTATATAGGTGGGGCACCATCAGAGAATTACTGGCTAAACCAGTTTCACAGTTTCAAAGGGCTGAAATTAGAATTTCATATGAGAGAAAAATCGATATTTTATACATATTTTAAAAATAGTAAATAATAACTTTAATAAAAATGAAACCTAATAAGAAAGAAAGATTGTCATGGATAATATATTGCTTAAGAGTCAGTGATTGTCAAATTCACAGCTTTACACAGAAAAAAAAAAAAAAAAAATAACCTGACGAAGCGTGATCAACAGATGCAAGTGAAAATGCAGATTTAGGAACCTGTGTGGCTCTAACTGTAATTGTCCTTCTCCCCCAAAGACAACAGCCTGCTACTGTAAGAGGCAATAGAAGTGAAAACCAAACTCAAGGAAGAGTAGGCAAGTCAAATACCCAGTAATTGAAACATGTTCTCTAGATCCAAAGAGCAATTCTTTGTTTCTCTTGGCATCTTACGGAACATACAATAAGGAATGAAAAAAAGAAATCTGCCTTCCAAGATGTAATTCAGTCCAAAAATTCGGCTTCCAAGCAATAAAATCTCTAAACTGTGTCTCATGCACTGTTTATCAGAAGGATTTGTTGTAATATCTGTTTTGGAAACGTTCACTAGCAGACCATGATGTAGATAAGGAATTGCAGATATATTGCAAACTATTTTCAAAGTGTAAAACTGTTCCCTAGTATAGTGGGCACTGAAACCTCTATCAAGAAGTGACAGGTTAGCTCATGTGAACAGGAAGAAAAATGACAACAGTGTCCAAGATACGTTATCTGTCTTTCTAGGGTTAAAAAAATTGCTAGCAAATAATATTGCTTGTGAAAAGAAATTTAAACTCTAGTTTTGGAAATCTGTTGGTGAACAACTACATTCCAATTGCTCACTGTATTTCATGAACTTTGTTATTGTAAAATAAAACCTGGTGATGATTTTGTGTTTATTGAGATGAAGTCTATGATTTTTAGGTATTCTCAAGATGTTATTTGTGAAAACACCATCTGTAAGCAGAAGATACCCAGCTACACAAGACGAGGATTTTGCTGATGCAGAATTATAGCCTTTATAGCAACTTTCCTGGCTTCTACATGTCTGGTAATTAGTATGTTGGCCAGACCCAAAGAATCATGAATTCCTCATGAACCATATATGTTGCAGACACAGTTACCTCTCTCAGAAAATATACATTGCTGTCTGTTATTATTTTATTAGAAACTAAAAGTTGTACCTTTCTTATAGAAGTCATAGCCTGCCTTCATTTTTAGATTAACGGGCTGTACAGTAACATTACCTAGCATGTATTTTTAAGGGACACAAGTGTCCTTAGGAATACCATCTGAAATGTTAAATTCAATACAAAAAAATGTTTTGCATATTGTTATGATGACAATCTTATATTAAAATTTACATGGTGTTTACAAATATCCTAATAACTGGAGGCAAGTTTTTAATAACATTTTAACAGTGAAGTATCACTTCTCTTCAAAAAAAAGGCAAAGGAAATGGCCTGTCTCTTCCTTGTAATCCTGCAGTTAAGGTGCACTTTACCACTTATTAAAGCCAGAATCCCAGAATAATCCTCTAGGTCTGTCAGTCAAGCACACCATATAAGAATACCAGCTACTATGATTCTTTCCCCCATCATACTGACATTTCCATTTTCATCCCTGTGTCATTTATATAAGCTGAATGCAACTGTGGCCATGAATTTTAAAGAGCTCAGGTCACATTAGGGTCTCTTTCCTCTCGATGAGATTTTGAATGAGGGGAAAGACTACAGACTTGAAATCAGGACCCTAAATAAAAAAACCTAGAAACTTTAAAAAATTGACCTTATTTAATTTTTATTCCCCTTTTTAAAAATATGTAGCCATTTTGAATGCTGAAATGTCTCTTTATCAGACAATGACATATTCTTGATGATGAGTACAGAAAAAGGAAGTTGTTTTCATCTTGAAAGATAACTTAAATGTTTAATTTTTAAATACTATTAAAGAATTCTCAGCAGTATATGCATATAAAGTTATATATTATTTTTTTATATAGTTTAGAAAGAATTTATTCAAATTCTCTGCTACAGGTTGTTACTACAATTCTGGAAAAGCACTGCATGCAAGAGATTTACTACCATCTCACACAGCATGTTATTTACCTGAATTGTATATGCTTTTGGGATACTGAAAAATGTTTTCAGTACTCATCTCTGCCTGAGGCCAAAGCCATGCAAAGGAGAGTTATCAAGAATTGCTTGTATTAAATGAGAACACAGCATAGAGAAAAAATAGATAGGAAAACTAGAATATGTGAGTTTCATTTCACCTCCAGTTCCATTTCTGAAACTCAGATCCAATCCTAACTGAACTCTTTAATTATGGCTTCTACTAATTCATAAAATGAATCATACGCCTAGTAGAGAACATCTCTGAAGTACTACTGAAAGAAGAAAAAAAGACAACAGAAAATCTGTACTAAAAAATGGAGATGAAAATTTTCCTTGAAGGTTAGCTGTTTTTAAGAATGGGACACAAATAATAAGCTTAATTAAAATAAAATTATTTTTTTCACATGCTACTTACAGCCTTCATAAATATCTGTTGGTATGTGGACTGCTGCATGTTGGTAAGACGTTTGCCGTCGGAAAACAGGATCTTCTTCAAATATTGGTCTGATTCTCTGGCTGCCAGATTCAGTGTCATTCTTTTCAGGCTTTTTAAAGAAAGACATGTAAAGGGCAAAATATTACAAAGTATGCTAAAAACAATTCCATTCATATTTTCCTCTTTTTACATAAAAGACTCTTAGCCTTTCTTCTGTAGCTAATATTTTGCATTTGTGTATAAATATACACTTATTTGCTCCAGGTACAGAAATATTTGTGTAGACTTTATTTTAAATTATGAGTTACACAATGTAACTCAGTGAAATTAAGTGCTGCAAAAGAAAAGTAACAGCCTAATGCCTTACACACCTAAATTTCATAAGTGTATGGAATTTTTACACCCCTAACACAAAACAAATACATTACCTCTTATTATGTGTAATAATTTACACCGAATCTTAAATCTAAATACTGTAAATCTCATTTTTTCCTTCTGTAGCTTACATAGTAAATCACAAATCTTAAAATGACACCACTAATATACATTTCATAAAGAGATTTTTGGGAAACAGTGGTGCACATCCAGACAAGGAATGAAAATTAAGCCTTCTTAGAAATTCTGACTGAAACAGGTTTTGTTCATTGGTTTATTTCAATAAGTCTCAATGAAATCTCATGTACTCTACCGGTTACATCTGCCTAGGTGGAAAGGTTTCCAAACACATGGCTGCTCACCACCACCTGCCTGACCTGGATTCCTATTCTCTCTCACCTGCCTGCACCCTGGCTTCTTGATTCCTTCCAATTTACTCAGTCATTTACACTAGTTTTTAAAAATTTTGAAAAGCAGAGTTTTTTTCTAACTCAGCTACAAAAAACACATGAAGTATGGAAACCAAGGAGGTAGTGAAGACCAAAGGGGAGGTGGCAATATCTTTACCTGGCTCAGCTGCAGCTGGAACAGGAAGCCCCATGACATGAGTAGGTGACCACTTAAATCAGTAATGAATCAACTATGATACTGAATGATTACTTGGGTCAGCAATTGTAGGCAATTATAAGGCAATTTTTAATACTACATTCATCAGGTTTTGAAAATGTGCTATGCTTGAAAAATAATGCTGACAAAGCACCTGTCTGGTCAGTCAGGCATGTGTGTGTTGAGGCTATTCTTTATACGCTACCAACTGTGTCTACTATCCCCTATCATAGACAGCTAAACTTTAACTTTCACATAAAGTAATTGATTAAACTGCGTATGCTTCCTCATCTGCTTCGTCACAGGGTTACGAACAAATGTTATGCTAATCATAGGTTCAAATGTTGCCTGAAGTAAGAAGCAATCTCAGATGGGTTTCAAGGAGGTGGTTTCCTTTGGAAACACAAAGGGCAAAACTCATCTAACCAGTGACATCCATTGATTTCAACAACACTAATGGTACTGAGCTCATCACCTCAGGCTGCCTTCATAGTCAATGAAGAGAAATGGGCATTTTTAGAGAGCAATTCATCTCATCTTAATTAGACACCTATTTTCTCATTATATGAATCATGTCTTAGAAGTATCTCCTACTTTCCATTGACTATAAACATAGCCCTAGGGCAAGTCACCTAAATGTAGAAGTCTGCAACACAGCTGTCTGGAATTAGGTGAGATGAATTTCACAATACAAGATTATTAAAATTCTGGAAGAAAATTAGCTGGGTACTAATTTTGAGTACTTTTATGCTGCATAGCTACTATATCTTATGTTAAGAAGTTAAACTTTTTATCGAGTACTTAACCCCACTCTGGTGGATGAGACAGAAGGGAAAACATAGCTTTTAATACTCAAAGTAAGGGATGATCTTCTTTAAGTAAATCTATTATCAGGTAAAGTCCAGGTATATCATGATGTTAAATAATCTATATTGATAAAATCTGTAAGTTACCTAAAAAACATTATTCTCCTTGAAATATCTAAGACCACATGTTGCCTTTTACTTTCACATCTGTAGTATTCTAGTGGACACAATGATGTCTGTTATGGAGGCTGCCAGAGGACTTCTGGATATCATACTTTTCCATTTAGGTGCTTCTAAGACAGCAATATTTTAGTTTTGGAATGGGAATTAGAAAAGCAGGAGATACTTGTACTATGCAGCCTGAAATGTTTTGATCCAGTATGCTACTCTCTTAAATCTACCAGAAAGTAAAACCACCATGTACTGGGTCTGGCTGGTATGGAGTTAATTTTCCCCATAGCAGCCTTCATAGTGCTGTGATTTGTATTTTGTACCTGGAAAGGTGTTGATAACAAATCAGTATTTTGGCTGCTGCTGAGGAGTGCTTGCACAGCATCAAGGCTGTCTCTCCAAAACACACACACATCTCACCCCCCTCCACCCCCACAAAAGGCCAGTAGTCTGGGAGTGGGCAAGAGGTTGGGTGGGGACATAGCCAGGACAGCTGACCCAAGATGATATTCAATACCATACGACATCATGCTCAGCACTATAAGCTAAGAGAAAGGAGGAGGGAGAGAGGCATTCGTTATTACAGAATTTGTCTTCTGGAGCAACCACTATGTGTATTTCCTTATACTGGCGAGCTGCGTAATTGCTCACCACCCGCTAACCAATAGCCAGCCCGGCTAGCGCCCGGCTAGCGCCCCCGAGATACCAAGATCCCACAATCGCAATCCCAGAAGCCAGAGAGAGCTCCTTCCCAACCACCCCTCCTTTATATAGTGAGCATGACGTTCCATGATATGGAATATTTCACTGGCCAGTTAGGGTCAGGTGCTGTGGCCGTGCTCCCTCCCTGCTCCCTGTGCCCTTGCGCATGGGCAGGACATGGGGAGTTGGAGAGTCCTTGAAGTCTCGGTAGCAGCTGAAAACATCAGTGTGCTATCAGCATTCTTCTCATTCCAAACCCAAAGCTAAATCCAAAACACAGCACTCATCTAGTCCCTGAAAAGGAATATTAACTCTATTTCAGCACAAACCAAGACAGAAGTGGCTGGACATCACCTGCTGATGGGAAGTAGAGAATCAATCCTTTTGCTTTCCTTTGATTCAGTGTGTGGCATTTGCTTTTCTTTATTAAACTGCCCTTATCTCAACTCACAAGTCTTGCCATCCTGTGTAATGGAGTGATAGAGGAGAGAATGATAGAGTGGTTTGGTGGGCACCTTGTGACCAGCCAAGGTCAACTCACCACAAACCATTATAACTTATTTTGAAGTGTGCAAACTGGAGCCAGGATCAGTCACAGTTTATGCATTTTATGATTTGAAATGAAACAGCGTTATGACAGCTTCAGACAATGTAATTTGGCTCATTTTTTACATAGGTTTTTGGTAGGATTTTTTTCTTCTACATTATCACCCCCCAGAACTAGAATGCTATACATTAAGCAAATTCTGGAGTTCTTTCACAAGTTATCTTCTGGCTTCAAGATGCTCAGAGTAACAAGTTTTTCTAATTCTGCAAATGCAATTTCAGCAATTAATCATTCATGTGAGAAAATTTTTCTTCTCCCTCAAAGCCATTTGATTAAAAAAAAAAAAACAAAAAAAACCCTAACACTCTTGTTTCTGAAATTCATGCCAGTGACTACAAACCCTTGATGGTTTCACAGAATACTTCAGATTGGGGACCATCAAGCCACATTATTATAACAAAACACCAGAATGAGTGGGTGTCAAAAGATTTCTTCCAACTAATTTTCCACAAGAAATATTTGAGACAGAGGGGGGATGATAAAAGAGAAAGGTGGTAAATCATAAGGTCCATCCTAGCAAGTCTTGCACAGAAGTTGTCATACTACAATATATTTAGATTTTTGATTTAAATTCCTGAAGCATCTGCACAGAAAATTGTCATGTTTCTTCTGCTTGGTATTTCAATTTCATTCCAAGTAATAGATACTAGCTTTCAGCCTCTCCCATCACTCATGTGCTACAGAAGAAGCTTCAAGTCTACTGCTAAAATTTGATTACAATTTGTTGAAACTGAAAAGGTTTAAAAAATCCACCTAAATGCCTTAAACTTTCAAACATAAAGACTACTTACCACATTTCTAACAGCACACACAGCCAGGCTCCCCCCCAAAATGACTGTGATAAAGACCCAGCCTGTTATTCTTCTTACCAATATTCCATGATATCAAAACAAGAACATGAATCTGAAAACTTTTCTCAGTTTAACTGATACAGGGCAGTGGATTTACCAGAACTATATGAAATAATACAGAAGCTTTTACATCCCTGTTGTGGAGTTTTCCTGGGTGTATTTTGTGATGCACAACTCTGATATTGAAACAATGCATCTGTGTGCTCCCAAAAACCTGGAGACACCAAATGACAAAATCCTTTAAAAGTTCTGTAGTTTCCTTCACACGGGATTAATTTTGTTATTAAATCTAAAGATGTCGCAACATCATGCAACAGGCAAGTATTATGAGAAGCATTACAGGCAAATTAGTGTTGCACTCACTTGAGCTACTACCTCCTGACCAGCAAGACTAATGCTGTGCCAGGCACATCCAATGTTTGTAGTTGATCCTTCTATATAAAGTAAAAACTATTTAGATTTTGTTTGCCAAATTTATGAATTTTAAGTAATATACATCTAAATTAAATATATATATACACACACATACATATATAAGGAAAGATTAAAAAGGAAAACCTCAATATTATTAATTTAGCCTGTTATTTCTATCAAAAGCCTGACAGATTCTGGCACTGGTTGGTACAGTTTTAATATCCAGTCAAACTGTTTTCAAGAAAGTAGCAAAACATATTTTGAAGGAAAGTAATCCAGCATGTGAATATAATTAAAATCCAACCCCAACTGATTTCTCTCTCCAGTCAAGAGCTGAAATGCAATCAATACTGGCACAGGAAAATCCCACAGGAGATAGTGGCTGAAGATTAATTTTCTATCTATTCAAACCTGGCCTTCACTTATTGAATTACATTGTTACCTACCACTGACAGTCAGCAAAATAACTCACTCACTTCTCTGCAATGAATCTCCAGACCAATTTCTCCCTCTCTTGTGAGGCAGAAAAATCCATTTCTCTTTTCAGTTCACATTTATGCTATTTTAAGGCCTTTTT